ATACTACTACTACTACTACTACTACTATACTACTACTACTACTACTACTACTACTACTACTACTACTACTACTACTACTACTACTACTACTACTTCTAGAGGCAAGAAGGGCAAGAAGACTATCCTTCTCCTCCTCCTCCGCCTCCTCCTCCCCCTCCTCCTCCTCCTCCTCCTCCTCCTCCTCTTCCTCCTCCTCCTCCTCCTCCTCCCCCTCCTCAGCTGGATGCGATGGAGTCGCAGGCCGTGCCGCACAGTGATGAAGGGCTAGAAAGTACAGGCAAGCCCAGGGCGATGCTGGAGCAGGCCAGCAGCCCAGAGCTTCAGAGCAGCTTGCGGCAGGCGCTGGGCTTCGAGGCCGCTCATGGGGACTGCTGCTCCAGCAGGCGCGGGAGGCGGTTCGTCTCGGGAGCGGCTCGGAGGCCCCTGGGTCTGCTACGGCGCGCCTCGAGTCGCAGGTCGAGGTTTGGCCGCGACTGCTGCTCCATCGGTTCTTGCAGCGGGATCTGCCCGGGCCGTGGTTTGGCCGCTGCGTGGGCAGCCTTCGGGCCCATTGCAGCGTGAGCTGCTAGCTGGCGCGGGTCGTGTTTCGACCATTTCGCAGGCTGGCACTGCTTCGACGCTGCGCGCGGCTCCGCAGCGGGACGCTGCCACGGTGGAGCTCCCCTGCGCGGGTCGTGGCTCGGCCAGCGCGTGGGCCTCCGCTGACGGTGTCGCCACAGCGCGGCGCCCTGCGACAGAGTTCGAGGGAGCTTGCTCCATTTTCTGATCTAGCCTGACCCTCCCCAATTTCGGTCTATTTGTATTCCCTAAACAACGCCGTGTCTACGGTTTTGCCCTCAACATGGATGCTCTGCCGTCGACGAACCAACATGCGTGGCAGCAGTGGGACGCCGAGAGCGCCCGCGCGCGAGACGGCCAAAACGCTGCCCTCGTCTCGGCACGGCACTCCGTTTTTTCCTGGGGAGGTGAGCTCCCGCTCGGTGGCTGCGCAATATCTTCTCGTCGCCAACTCGCCTCGCCGGCGCGACAGTGGACGAAAATTGAAGGGGCCCAGGAAGCACACAAATAAATGCACTCAAATCTCAAGATCCCCCACATGTTCTCACATTTCCTGGACTCCCTCCCCCCCATTTCCCATATTTTCCCATCTTTTGAGGGGGATCGAAGATTCATTCTGTCTGTGTGCTGTTTCCCCTCGTGAAAAAATGTCGTCCTCACCTCGGCACCGCGCAGGTGTCGCCAGGAAGTGGCGCCCCCGCCACGGCGCGGCGCCCGGTCATCCCTCGCGAGAGTCGTCGAAGGGCGGGGCCGCACGCCAGCGCGGGGCACGCGTCGTGCTCCGCGTCCCCAGCGGCCCGCGCGAGAGCGGCAAACGGGATCCACACACGAGCCCGGAAGGGATGCAGATGCCATGGCTTGGGCAGTGGGCAGTGGCAGTGCTGAGGGCATCCGTGGTGAGGATGCCATGCCAGGGGCTGCGGTGCGCTGCGCTGTGCCATGCTGTGCCGTGCTGAACTGTGTTGTGGCATACTGTGTTGAGCTGTGTTGTACTCTGTTGCGGTATGTATGCAGTCGACATTGGCGCCCATATCTTGACCGAACTAGTATCGGTATTTAGACCGAGCTGCCTGAACGCATGGCTTGCCAAAAGACACGTGCTGGGCGATCAACCAGAACGAGTTCAATGTGGGGCTCAGCTCAGAAGCGGGACAGACGCGACAGGGGCGCACAGGGCGCACGGACGCGCCACGGGAATTGCCAGGGGCGCACCACGGGATGCGCCAGGGGACGCGCGTGCCGTGGACGTGTCAGGGAACGTGCCACTGGAGATGCCAAGGGACGCGCCAGGGGACGTGGCAAGTGGACGTCATGCCAGGGGACGCGCCAGGGCACGCGCCAGGGGACGTGCCACGGAACGGGCAGGGGAAACGCCAGAGGACAAACCAAGGAACGCGCCAACGCGCCAGAGGACGAGCCAGGGAACATGCTACGTGACGCGCCAAGAGGCGTGCCAGGGGGCGTGCCATGGCGCGTCCCGGGGGACGCGCCAGAGGACGCACCAGGGGAAATGGCAAGGGACGCGCCGGGGGTCGCGCCACGGACGTCTCGCCCGGGGACGTCCAAAGGGACGCGCCAGGGGACGTGGCAAGGGATGCGCCACGGAACGGGCAGGGGAAACACCAGAAGACGAGCCAGGGACGAGCCAGGGAACGTCCCACGGGACACGCCAGTGGACGTGACTGGGGACGTGGCAGTGGACGCGCCAGGGTTTGTGACAATGGGGGCGCCAGGGGACACGGCAAGGAACGTGCCGAGTGACCTGCCATGGGATGCGCCACGGAAACGTGCCAGGGGACGCGCCGCAGACGTACCATGGGACGCGCAAGCCAGGGGACGTGCCACGGAACGTGCCAGGGGACAAGACAAGGGACGACCCATCCTGCTCTGTAGTCTTCTCCGCCGAATTCCCGCTCTCACCGCCACAATCCGTACACAAGTA